TATGGTTCATGGGGTCACGAAGAGTCGGACACGACTTAACGACTAAACAACAACAACTCTACATTACTGATTCCCTTAATCCATATTTTGCCATATGTCTACAGAAGGACATCTAAGACATTTGTACAGTTTTTTCTTTAGAAATTCATTCATTTAACTTCTATAACATCTAGTAAAAAAAAAACAACCCACTAAAATTTAATTTAGGATCATCTATTCATATAAAGCCTACACATGCTAAGCACAAACCAATTCATAAGTACTAATCCCAAAGTGGGTTCCTATACCTGCCTATGAACTTCAGAAAAAGGAATGGGTAGACGTACTACCCATTGGGTAGATGTACTACACAGCCCTCTCAAAATGATGGGATTTATAGAAATTACAGCTGCTGCACATTGTTGGTTTCCATGGGACTTAATCATGATTGACCTCAGATGAATCCTCAGTGTATAGATTGTGCTCAGGTGAAATTCAAAATTTAAAAGATTCATAGGAATTTGTCTTTTCCATTTTGTCCCTGCTTGTGATAAAATCTGATGCTTTACAGAAAAAGCAAAGAGATTTGGGGAAAAGGAAAACTCTAGATTTTTTTCTAGCCATAATGGGCCTTAATTAAGATTCCATAATAGAAATGAGGAGGAGGAGGAGGAGGAGGAGGAGGAGGAGGAGGAGGAGGATAAAAACAAAACTGGGGGATAAGGAGCATGGGACATGTCTTGGATCCTTTTTTAGTTGAGCTTACCGTAGCCCCCACTTCTTTTGCTTTGTCAATACATTCCATTGCCAGCATATGATCAAGACCAGGATCCAAACCCATTTCGCTGATAATGGTAATGCCAGCTGCCTCTGCACTACAATATAAGAAAGACTATCAGGTGAAAGGCAATGGCAAGGTATCTTTACAGACTATCCCACCGCTGATTAAACTCAGCAGCTCCCAAACCATCCCCTAGCACGGTGTTTTTAACCTTGGCAACTTTAAGAATCAGTTTTTTGTGAGATGGACAGCCATACAATTTAATAGATAGATAGATGATAGATAGTTAGATAAGACGTGTGGACTTCAACATCCAGAAGTGAAACCCATCCTGGCTGGGGAATTCTGGGAGTTGAAGTCCACACATCTTAAAGTTGCCAAGGTTGAAAAACACCGCTCTAGCAGATGAAGCCACTTCCAATTAATTCTAGTTCAAGTTGATTTCAAACATCTCTGCAGTAAGTTGAATGGACCATATTTGTTCACCTCAGTGACTAGGCTGGACTGGTATAAATGTACTCTCCACACTTAAGCAATTATCTGGAAAACTCAGTTTTTAAGCTTAGCTGACTTTCCTTAAAACAGGGGTAAACAACCTCCAACTCCAGGGTCATATGTGGTCTTTGAACCAACCAACCTACCTACCTACCTACCTTCCTTCTTTCCTTCCTTCCCTCCCTCCCTCAGTGTCTCTCCCTATTATAATTGCCAAAAGTCACTGGCATGGGTTTCCACCATTTTGAGGTGGGAAAATAAAAAAAAACCTATACCACATGCCCTAAACTATGTTTAATAGCTTAAAAAACAAAGCAAAAACTTGGGGGTGAGTGGCTGGGAAGTCCGGCATATATGTACATGACATCATCCTGCCTGCTTTGTTTCATCCTCTCAAAAATAGCTAAGTGTGGCCCTTGACCTTCAAAAGGCTCTTTATATTTCTTAAGTGATATAATCCAGCAGTGGTTTGCAAAGGATTTTGAAGAAAAAAAAAAACCATGAATCTAGCTATCAATTATTGCTGGAGGCAATGACACCTGAAGGGGAGGTGAAGACAGGCCAGACTGTTGTCAGCAGCATTGCAGAATTGTGACACAAACCTTGCCCCATCTGTATATATGTCACAAGGTGGGGGCAAAGCTTGTGTTGTGACATAGCAACACTGGGTTTTGATATTCTGACTAAAATGGCAAATTTCTGTGGCTGGAGGTGATCACATTTATGGGTAAGTAATGGTACCTGTCTTAATATATATTCAGCTTCAAGAGAGATGTTGAGAGATCTGCTGAGGATGCTAAGTGCTCAAACGTGATGGGTCATACCTTTCCTGTAGTTCTTTCATTTCAGGCGTCAGGTAACTCGCGGTCACCAAATTCACTCTGCTGTCAATGCATTTCTTAGCAACCAAAGGATGGAATGAATATGGTAACAAACTAAAAAGAGAGGGGAAAAGTGAGAGCAAGGTCAGATACTAGAAAATGTCAATTCTTTTCTACACTGTCAAAACAGGCAGAAAACCCAGTCCAGTGTTGTCTTATTTCTCAAGAGAAAGCCATAATTACTGATTTCTATAAAATCAGTTTAATTAGAAATATCATTCCCTGGCTTTTAGAATAATGTTACAATGCAAAAAGAAAAATAACTTTTTCCCCAGCCACCCTTACATCCACAAATAGTATTCAGTATCAAGGTTTAAGAAGGAATTCTTTGTCAGGTTTTTTTAAAATACTTGTTCTGAAAAATGGACTAGAATGTTTGAATTACTCTAACTTATTTCTCAAACATAATTAAGCAGCATTTTTTCCACAACATATAGAAATTACTAAATGGGATTTTGAGAGGGCTAGTGCACATGCTACATATGTAATTGACCAGGTTTAAACCCTGGAATGTCCTCCCGAAATTTTTCAGGTAGAGGACCTATATCTTTTCCTCTTTCTGCTCAATGATTATGGGAAATCTTTAGTTATCAGTACCAACTCAGATGGACCAATATTTGATTAAATATAAGGTAATTACATATGTATGTATGTATGTATGTATGTATATTTCTTGTTATGTGAGCCTTCTATTGTATATACGTACATGGACACATATACACATACAAACACACACTTCTTTAGTTCCACACAGTACACTGAAGCCAGAATTATGAACTTGTTAAGTCACTATGATGAGTTTCAGTGTTAGATTTGAGCTTGGATAAACTGGATTTAAGATCAAACTGTTAGCAGAATCTGATATAATGTATGTGCAATGGGATTATGAGTTATGCATGAGATGCCTCTGCTTTTGTATTTATGAGGTCTCTTTTTAATTGTATCTTTGTTGTTTTTATATTGGTTTTACTGTTAGTCAGTCACCCAGAGTTATTTGGTTAAGATAGGCAGCCATATACATTTTTTAAATAAATAAATTAAATGAATTAATTAATAAGAGCAGTGAGTGAACCTGGGCCCATTACCACCCCCCTCCTTCTCTTCCACAGTTGTTTTAAGAATAAAACTAGGAAGGAAGGAAGGAAGGAAGGAAGGAAGGAAGGAAGGAAGGAAGGAAGGAAGGAAGGAAGGAAGGAAG